CATCATACTTAAAAGTCAGTAGATTATAGCTCTTGATTATTTCTACAAAATACCTTGAACATACAGACAAGTATGTGATCCAACAGATGGGCACTGTAGCCTCACTAAACTGGTCAGAAAGTTTAGTGATCATGTGGAGATACAGGTGCTAAAGCAGATGTGAATTGTAAGCTCAATGAGGCAAGAGAGGATGGCATTTAGTCAGGGAAGCCAGTGACTTCATTTCAGTGATGAGCTCATAATTGGAACAAGATACTTAGGTCCATGTTCCAAAAATAGCTGAAATCTGGGTGAAAATAGCATTTCTAGGTAGTAGAAAGTGGATTTCGAATGAAACCCTGTGGTTTATGAGCAGGAGAGCTGTGAGGGACAAAGGAGCCTTGCAGGTGTGCCTGAAACTCAGCACATCGATTATCAGTCTCCACAGACCCATCCCACGCCCATCTCAGCACAACCTGTAGCCATTCTAGATTGTTTAAATGGTATTAGAATTTATCATCCATTTTAATATACAAATTCTGTTCCATATTAACATACCGCCATTCCCCCCTTGCTTTTTTTTTTTTAACCATACACTGAGAGAGAAAGAGGAACATGGTATCCTTAATTTTTTCATTTACTTTTATTTTTCTATATTATGCATTGTTTTTTGAAAACTACCATAATTCTGCAGTGGATAGTTATATCTCATTGAAAATTCTAAGTATTCATAAAGTTCAAGGATTTTGAATTTTGAGAATATTTTAAGGAAATTGGAAATAGGAAGTAGAATGCTTTCAAAATCATTTAAAAGGTGAAAAAAGTAACCATTTTTAGCTTGAGTGTAATATGAGAATTAGAAATTAGAGAAAATAAAGTCATAGTCTAAGGAATGTATAGCTGGGTTTGGTGACATTTGCTTATGTTCCCAGCACTGCTCATGGGAGTGGGAGCTGGGTTGGGGTGCATTAAGATCAAGGGCAGTTTGAGCTACATTTTGACTCTTTAAAAAAATGATCTAGGCAGTCTTAAACACTGAAAACAATAACTTTCCTATAATTTTGAGCCTTGTATACTTTATTGGCATGCTAATGCTGAGCTTTACAAGGGAAAATTGTCAAACGTGTAGCTGGCTCAGTCGTTCAGAGCACTTGCTACTCTTGCAGAAGACCCACACGTCGATAATTTCATACCCAGGTTGTCTGCTTTCTGAGCCTCCATAGGCACCAGGTATGAACCTGCTGCAAATGACAGGCGGACACACACTCGTACACAGCAAAACCTACTTCTTACTAGAATTTATAATTCAATATTTATACATTGCTTTCCTTGATAATTTGTAAGAAATAAAAAGGGATAGGAATTACTTGACCTGATTTTACAGTATAAGAGAGGAAATGAGCAGGCTACAGTGGCGCACACTCATACAGTATTTTGGAGATAGAGATGGAAGGATTGCTAATTGAAGTTTAGCCTGGTCTATTTAGTGAGATTCTAAAGGGGCTGGGAGGGGGTGGTGGCAACACTACTATGCTTCTGTAGACATTTGCCAACATTCTGTTTACCTTATACTTGTAGGAAAAGTAACCATTTCATTTTACAAGGGGGATTCTATTCATTTAAGATAGTAAATACTAGGGCCAGTGAGAGGGCTTTAGCAGGTAAAGACATTTGTCATAAGACAGTAAATCTTCTAAATAATCCATGTGCATGGCATCATAGTCTTGAGCATATAAGGTAGAAATAGGCCTTTCCTTGCCTAGGACCCAAGAATGAGCTATAGGACTCTAGCTGTGTAACTGTCCAGGAACGTTGTATACCCTCCACAAATACACCTCCTGCTCTTCTGTCAGAGAGCTGAGCATGCAGCATCCCAGTGATGCCAGAAACTAAGGTTTGCCCTTCTGCCTGTGCTGAGTCTGTTTCTGGGGTTCAGACTGGGTAACAGGTTAAGCCAAACACATCTTCAACAATACCTGCTATCTAGAGACTTCCGTAAACATTCACAAGAATTTTAATATTTTATTTATAGGTAATCCGAAAAAGGTTTTATTGACAAAATGTTTCTGCTTCTCAAAAACATTGTCTTAGGATTGCTAGGGCAGCAGCTGTCACTCAGAAGGAAAGTCCATCGTGCAGGAAAATTAGTTACCCATGAAAAGATGAGGCTCAAGAACTTAAACCGAGCACGCACTGTCATGGCTCTGGATGTTAGGGAAAGTGGTTTTTTGTTTTTTGGGGGTTTTTTTGTTTGTTTGTTTTTCGAGACAGGGTTTCTCTGTGTAGCCCTGGCTGTCCTGGAACTCACTCTGTAGACCAGGCTGGCCTCGAACTCAGAAATCCACCTGCCTCTGCTTCCCAAGTGCTGGGATTAAAGGCGTGTGCCACCGATGGCCGTGAAAGTTTTAGAAAGACACTGAATACAAGTGTTTGTTTCTTTCCTCAGGGGAAGCTCGTTTCTTGGCTTCTCTGGTGTGACGTTCCTTTGTATCTCCACCTTCTTAGTGAGACCTTTCCATATGTGATCATGACTTCCTAGAGAGCACTTTTGCCATCTGCCTGGCAAAAGTGTGCCTTCTGTGGTTGTCCACAGGGGGGAGAGTGCAGCACTAGCCCTCAGAAGAAACATTTGTCCCTTCCAGGGAAGATGATGACAGTGCAAGTCTGCTCTTTAGGTTTTCCATGGCTATGGTTAAAGTAAAACTCTTATATCAAGGAGAGCTTTGTAGAAAAAAAGGTTTGGCTAGGCAGGGAGACATGCTTGCTGAGGAAAGATGAGGCAGGAGGTCTCTGGACTACGTAAAAAACTCCACCACCTACCAAAACCTTTCTTTTCAAGGAAAAAGGAGCATAAGTTTGTATCTTGTAGGCTCTATAGGATATCCCATTATAGGGAAAATAAAACAAAAAAATGTTTTTATTATAGTTATCTTCTAATGAGGTATCTTAAACTACACAATCATTGTAATTTACAGTTTTCCAAAATTGGGGATGATATGGCATTGGCTGGCTCTCTTCTTAGCTTTAATTGAGTTATTACTGTATGTAGCAGAGATTAACCTCTGGCTTAAAACCATTTGTTTACCTTGTGATAGAAATGGTTGTGATGTAGGAGAATTATCATCAGTAGACGTTTCAGTGGTAGGCTTAGCAAGCCAAAATACTAAGGGTCTATCTATACTGTTGGCTTACTGTGTGGGTCTGAAAAAAGTCCTCCTCAGATGATATCTGGGAAAGTGAGGAAGAGCCTACTGAAGGACTAGTTCTGTCTTGCTGCTCAGGAAGCTGCTGATCTGCCTTGCCTTCTAGTCTTGACTGTTGTTTCTGGGTGGCATTCCATGCCATCTGACGTGATACTTGAACAGTCCTAATTCCTTCTGCTCACTCCCATGCTCTGCATCAGTGGTCTCAACTAAGACTGCTGTAGCAGACATGTGTAGGCTCTGTTCCTGCTCTTGGAACAGTTTAAGTATTTGTCACTTTAAAGTATACAAGAGAATATGTGCAGGTTATGTGTAAACATCAGTAAACTTTTGGTGTGCTCTGGATGGGAGGGAGGGATGTGAGTAGAGTTGGGAGCTAGGCCTCCCTCATATCCTTGATGCTGTGGGCAAGGGACAGTTCTGGAAGGTATTTAGGGTTGTATTGATTTTTTTTTTTTTTTTTGAAGTAAGAGAGACAAGATCTCATTTTGTAGAGCAGGCTGGCCTAAAACTCACAGAGATCTTCTTATCTAAAAAAAAAGAAAAAGGGCTTTTAAAACTTTCCCCTTTATCGAACTGTGAGTGATAAACTTTGCTTTTCAGGAAGACAATTTTTTGCAAAAAATTGTTTGATTCAGACTCGGAGAAATGGCACTCTGTTGGAAAGACATCCTCATTTTTTGCACTCTAGTAAAATATGTTTCAAATGTCCTATTTAAAGGGACGCAAACAAAACACGGAGTAAGAGTGATGTCTCTGCAGTGATGGGGATGGGTGTGTGCTTGCATTATGTGGAGCTCTCTTTGTCATTGTCAAAGTCTTCTCTCTCTATTACTACCTAAGACGCTGTGCTTTGCTTATGTAGTAATACACATTTTTTATTGTTTGTAAGTTATTTATTATTGAAAAGTTTAAATATAAAACTACAGATAAAAATAGAAACTTAATGGGTTATCTAGTGATGGGGAAGTAGGATATTGTCAACGATCTATACAATTCATTTCATACCAGGAAGGGAATTTTTTTTTTCTAACATGGGGTTTCTCTCTAGCTCTGGTTGTCCTGAAATCAGAGATCCACTTGTCTCTGCCTCCTGAGTTCTGGGACTAAAGGTGTGCACCACCATGCTCAGCTGGGAATTAGATTTTTATATTATTGCTAAAAACATTTTTAGGTTTATTAAGCATATGAGTTTTTGCATGTACACTTTTGCAGTATATGCTTGCCTGTTTCCCACATGTGACACCACGTCATAGGAGGGTGTTGAATGGAACTGGAGTTATGGATGGTTGTGAGGCGGTGTATAGGTGCTGGGATTAAACTTAAGTTTAACCATCTTCACAAGGATTAGAATTTTAAAGGAAGGGTGAAACAGTAAAAATAGAAATAGGCAATCAGATTAAGTATAATTCTGAGACAAAATTAATAATAATAATACAAGGAAATTGTACTGAAAGTTTGTGCTGTGTGAGCTGCTGTATTGCTAGCTTCCCCGGGGGTTTTCTGAGAAGATGTCCATATTTTTACTGTTATACCAGCAGAGAGAACGCGTTTGTTTGAAACAGGGTTACGGAGGTTGGCCTCTGTCTCTATGCAGCCATGTATGACACTGAGTTCCTGATCCTCCTATGTTTAACCTTCAACAGATTAGCTGGAAATACTCCCCTTCACTTGTGTGTTTAGTTAGCGTAAAACTACAAAATTCTTCTGTGAAATCCAAAAACCTAGATGATTTCATCATCTCATGTGTATTTTCTTTCCCTTCTAGATAAAAGTCTACATCAAGTAATCCAGGAAAGGAAGAACAAGCAGACCAAGATGTGTAGCTCAGGGGCTGGTAAGCTGTGGTTCTTGACGGATCGTCGCATCAGGGAAGACTACCCACAGAAGGAGATCTTACGAGCCTTGAAGGCCAAATGTTGTGAAGAGGAATTGGACTTCAGGGCTGTAGTGATGGATGAGGTGGTGCTGACAGTGGAGCAAGGAAATCTGGGTAAGACTGTACACATGCTCTTCTGTGGTGAATCTGTTTCTGGAGTAATGAGGACAAGTGACGTCATAATATCCTCATCAAAAGTACCTACCTCACATTGCAAGTCTGTTTATAGAAGACATAGGGGTTCTAACAGTTCCTAAATGTCTGAAAGAGCGAGAGATATCTGAGTTCTAGTCAGTAGGTATATAGAGAGTTCTAGGACAGCAAGGGCTACACAGAGAAACTCTGTCTTTAAAAAAGCAAACAGTAAATAAATCAAAATTTATCTACAAAATTTCAATAACTTACCTTTCTTAAGGAAAATTCCTTTAACTAATGAGAATTCTTGATATTTTTTCCTTTAGATAATATCTGCAGCATTAATTAAAATAACCTATCAGATGGATTGAGTATCTTATGATCTGCCTCAGCAGGTGGTACATGCATTTCTAATGTTTCACATGTGATGTGTTTAGAAGATAACGGGCATGGTAGTTCATGCCAGTAGAGGCAAGGCCGGAGATCATAGCCAGTCAGCTATGGAATAAAGAACGTGTCCCCACAAACAAAATACATAAACAAATCTGTTGGTAGCCTTTGGGGGCTACTGCTGGTGCTGCTTCTCCTCTTCTTCCTCTTCCTCCTTTTCTTCTTCCTCTTTTCTTCTTCCTTCTTTTTCTTCCTTTATTTTTTCATCTCCAAGACAGGCTTTCTCTGTATAGCTCTGGCTGTCCTGGAACTCACTCTATAGACCAGGCTACCTCTGCCTCTCAAGCACTGGAAGTAAAGGCATGTACCTCTCCCACCTGTAAAAATGACTGCTAGTTAACTAACATTTGGGAGGTAGAGTTGGACATCACTCAGTGTGATGGTTAGTCCATATGACTTGGTAGATGATGGTGAGCTTCAAGGATCTAGAATTACCCAAAAGATGTGCTTCTGTGAGGCGTCTTAACTAGGTTAATTCATATGGTAAAAGTCACCTGGTTTGGGATCCTTCACCAGTGGACTTCTTGTGGGTCTAGGCATTTTTATACTTAAATTTTTAATATTTTTAGATTATTGGAGCTGGAGAGATGGCTCAGTGGTGCTCTTCCAGAGGTCCTGAGTTCAATTCCCAACAACTACATGGTGGCTCACAACTATCTGTAACGGGATCTGATGCCCTCTTTTGGTGTGTCTGAAGACAGCTACAGTGTACACATTTATATATAATACATAAATAAATTAAAAAAAAATTTTTTTTAGCCGGGCGGTGGTGGCACTCGCCTTTAATCCCAGCACTTGGGAGGCAGAGGCAGGTGGATTCTGAGTTCAAGAGTTCGAGGCTAGCCTGGTCTACAGAATGAGTTCCAGGACAGCCAGGGCTACACAGAGAAACCCTGTCTCGAAAAACCAAACCAAACCAAAAAAAGAAAAAGAAATTTTTTTGGATTATTACTTTATGTGCATGGGTGTTTTGTCTGCATGTATGTATGTACACTAGATATATGCCTGGTATCTATGGAGGTCAGAAGAGTGCATTGGATCCCCTGGGAAGATTTTGAGCAATTATGTGGGTGCTGAAAATGAAACCCTGGTCTTCCTCAAGAGAACAAGTGCTCTTCACTGCTGAGCCGACTCTTCAGCTCTGTACAGTATACTAAATGCCATCCTCTTGTAGGGAGGTGACGGAACAGCTTCTTTCACAGAACTTTTGTTTTTCTCCTTTTTTTTTTTATTAAAAATCATATTCTTCAAGTTCTTTTTCTCTGGAAAATTTTCCTCAGTATAAACTTAATTGTAGAGCAAAACCAAACTATGCTGTTATACTAAAGTGAAGTCAGTTGGCCCAACCCAAGTTGGGCCTGTGGGGCTCTGTCCTTGGGCTGCCAGTACTCTATTTTCCCTGCTTATCTGACTGTGGTTTTGACTTCGGACTCCCTGCTTCATCTCAAAGCCACCCCATTTGATAGCAAGGTTCCTTGTTTTCAAAATTGAATACTTGGGTCAAGCTCTTCTATCAACTGACCCGTCAGGGTAGAAAGAATAATGAAAACAGCTTTCGTCAAACAAGTGGCAGATTTTCATCTTGCATGCTTATAATGTGGAATATTGCAGCCCAGGGTGGCCCCAGATGTCTGCTGATCTCCTTTGTCTACCCTTCAGGGCTGAGATTAGTGGTATGGGTACCACATGTGGCTCTCCTAGATGTAATTTATGTGGTATTGATATTTGTTGATTATTTTTATGAGCTTTCTGCTTTGAAATGACACTGACATTAATTTGAAGAAAATTCATAGTTTAAAATACTTATGTTTCATTTTCAGTTACATACAATATTTGCTACATATGAATTATATTTCTTGTTGCCACCCTTGAGTTTTTGGATAATCTCTTCCTTTTAAAAAGTACCTTTCATTTTTAGATGAGTGTCATGTTAATTAAGTTCTGAGATTAATTTTCCAGCTAAGTTCAGTGTAGTGAAGTTTCTTCTCCCAAAGACCCTTTTTTTTTTTAAAGATTTATTTTATTTATATGAGTACACTATAGCTATCTTCAGACACACCAGAAGAGGGCATCAGATCCCATTACAGATGGTTGTGAGCCACCATGTGGTTGCTGGGAATTGAACTCGGGACCTCTGGAAGCGCAGTCAGTGCTCTTAACCGCTGAGCCATCTCTCCAGCCCCCAAAGCCCCTTTTTATTAGTGGTTTTAGAATGTACCATTTTTGTTTGTTCTGTTTGTTGTTGTATCCTGTCTGCTGTTCCCGTAGAAGGTCTTATGCTACCAGTCACTGTTACTGCACTCTCACCTAGGCTGGCTTGGAACTCCCGTAACTCAGATTGGCCTAAAAGTTGCGGTGAATCTCCTGTCTTGGCCTCTCTTGTGCTGGGGTCAGAGGCATGAGCCACTGTGCCCAGCTTAATGGTGTTTTAAAATCTGATGCTCTGTAACATCTGACCCTGTTTCAGATGATCTCTTCAAAGTATTTTTTACTCTTCTTTTGGTATAATAAAACACCCCAGCAAAACCCAACCTAGGTGAGAAATGGGTTTATTCCAGCCTACTGTTGAGCCTGGCACTGTAGATAAGGGAGGAACTTGAGATTGCTAGTTACCAGTGAGCGCATGACTGTTTGTTTGTGCTCAGCTCGATTTCTATGCTCAGGGATTCTGCGTAGAGAATGGTGTTGCTTTTAGTGAGCTGAGTCTTCGCCCACTGGTTAAGGTAATTAAGACAATTCTCTACAGACATGCCCACAGACAGTCCCTCATTGAGACTCTCTTGTCAGGTTATTCTAGGTTATGTCTAGCTGGCAGTTAAAACCGACAGTATCTGGACCTTTGTGTCTGATCTATCCCATTCAGCACTTTTTTTTTGGGTGGGAGTGAAGGGTCTCAGTGTAAACCAAGCTGATCTGGAACTCACTGTAGTGCAGGCTGGCTTTGAATTTGGCTCTGAGTGCTGTGATCACAGCGTGAGTGACAGCCTGGCTAGCCTCGTGATTTCAGCAGACTTCCATCTCTTGTAATATACACACATCAAACTTTCCTTCTAAAAGCCAAGTACTCATTTACTGTTTAACTCTACATTTTATCTACTTGGATTCATATCAGCAGTGCACAGGGTTCCAGTATTGCACTATGTCAATTTGTACTATGTTATTCTATTCAATTTGTCTGTTCTGGAAATGAACGTAGGGCTTTGTGCATGCTATAAAAATGCATACCACTGATTGCATACCCAGTCCAACTTACTTGATAGTGGCCATTCTAATGGATATGAAGTACTGTCTCATTATGGCTTTGATTATTGGTGTTGAATATCATTTCAGTTAGTAATAAGATCATCAAGTAATCACTCTCTAGGTAAATCTCATTGGATACAGTGGTAACTGACAAAGAAGGCTTGAGTATCTTTTCCAGGGGGAATGGTATTTTGGAGAAGTACATATTCAAGTCCTTTACATTGGCTTGAGGAGAGATCATGAGAACTTGGGTCTTTTCTGAGTAGGTTTTGCTTAGGTTTGTGTGTATTTTGACTTCCTTTCTGGTTTTGGGTGTCTCCATTTCCTGCAGCTTAGCCACAGGGCCAAGATTGTTGCTCTGTTCCTGTAATGACTTGCTTCAGGTAACTGCTGATCTTTAGGTTTCCCCATAGCTTTCAGAAGCAGTGCCTTTAGCTTTCCTACCTGAGAACCTTCTTAGGTGAAACAGGAATCAGTTCTTTTGCAGTACCCTGGTAGATCCGAACACTGCATATAAGATCTGTGTTACTTTCAGTTCCCAGGGAACTGTGTTGCCGAGTTCTGTAGGAGGCAGTGCCTCCACTCAGACTGGGGATGTAGGCACAGGTAAGATAGGATTCCATGAAACTAGCCTTGAACCTTTTGATCCTCCTTCCTTCTGCCTCGTAACTGCTAGGTTTGCAGGTGTATTCCAGCAGATCTGGCCCTTTGTCTCCAGTCTGGCTATTTATGTTTTTATGAGTCTTTCTGTGTAGCTCTGGCTGGCTTGGATCTTACTTTGTAGACCATGCTGGCTCAAGATCATTCTGCTCCTGCCTCCCAAGTGCTGGGATTATAGGTATGTCATACAATGCCTGGATTTCTTTTATTTTTTATTTGTGCTTGGCTGTTTTGCCTGCATGTATTTACCACTTTCATGCCTGGTTCCTGAAGAGGCCAGAAGGTGTTCCAGTTCTAGGAACTGGAGTTGCAGATATGAATGTTGGGAATCAAACACAGCTTCTCTGGAAGAGAAGCCACACAACTGCTAAGCCATCTCTTCAGTCCCCCTCTTGGAAAAATACCTCATTTCTTATAATGAGTAAATAGAGTTAAGTTATACAGAATAGTAATTTTGACATGTCTGAATAATTTGTAAAAACAAATTGTATGAGAGTGTGTGTGTGTATTTACCATGTGCATGCCTGGGTAAAAAGAGGTCAGGGTGTTAGAAGCCGTGTTGTAAGCCACCCTATGGGTGCTGGGAATTGAACCTTAGTCCTCTGCTAGAGCAGTAAGTACCCTAGTCCACTGAATAAAAATAAATATTTTTTTATTTTCTGTATATTTGGGTGTTTTGCCTGTATGTATGTCTGTATACCACACACACAAAGTGCCTACAGAGACCAGAAGAGAGTGTTGGATCTCCTGGGACTGGACTTAGAGATGGTTGTGAGCCACCATGTCTGTGTTGGGAGTTGAACCCAGGTCCTCTGGAAAGAGCAGCTAGCGCTTCTTGTTACTTAGCCATTTCTTCAGGGATGGATAATACAGAAGTCAAGTGCCCTTCTCCCTGTAGCACGTGAAGCAGGGTGCCATTATCTTTTATTGCTGCTGATCTTAAGCTGGGTTTTGCTTGCTTTACTTTTAAAAAAAGTTTCCCCTTTGTAATTAAATACTTAAGATAGGGATGATTCCTTTGAAATGTAGATCATTTCTCCTTAATTGAGTGGGTGCTGGGAATTGTAACTGGATTGTAGGCTTAGATTTTTAAAAACCTACTTTAATAAGGGTTCTCAAATGCATCTGCCCTGCTTCTAGCTCACTGTCCAAAGGTAGGGGAGAAAAGATGACAGGACAAAGGGATGTGGATTTGTTTAGAAGTTCATTGAGGTGATTCCAATCTTTGCTGCCAGGATACCATCAATCCAGTTCAGTAGTATCAGGATACCAGCAGTCCAATTCAGTAGTGTCAGGATACCAGCAGTCCAGTTCAGTAGTGTCAGGATACCAGCAGTTCAGGCATGAGTCAGCAGGAGCCTCCAGGACCAGCAGTGCCAGGAGTTCTGTGCTGTGCTTCTCTCAACAAAGACTAGAGACCAGCACCATGTCTGCCTGCAGGCTGACATGTTTTCCATCATGATGATAATGGACTAATAAACCTCCCAGTTAAACATTTTCCTTTATTAGAGTTGCTGTGGTAATGTCTCTTCACAGTAATAAAACCGTAACTAAGACACAGGTTATTTATTCCTTAAGAAACTTTCTATTTATATATGTGCAAATAAAACTTATTTCAAATTTTCCCATATAATAGTTCATCATGTATTTGGACCTTTCATTTCTTAATGTAAATATGTTATGCCGTCTCTTTAAATGGTGGTGCCACATACTCCATAATTTAGTTAATAAAACAGGTAGAATTTCAGCTTTCTTAGAGAAAAATATATCCCAATCCAGTATTAATAACACAGTGCTTTTGATTTTGTGATACAAGCTTTGGCATTTTATTATTTCTCTATAATAGTATTACTTTTATTTAAATTTCAGATTCTACATGTATTCTTTCCTTTCCTCCCTCCAAATCCTCTCATAGACCCTTCCTTACTCTTTCAAATTCACATCCTCTTTTAATTAACTGTTGGTACATGGATATATATGTATGTCTATATATGCATACTTATTGCTAAATACATAACATACAACCTGCTCAGTCTGCATTATGTTACTCATAAGTATGTTTTCAGTACTTTCTCCCACTTTATGTAGGGTTGAGGCAGGCCTCCTGGGTTTTCCCCTGTCCATGTTAGCATGTCTATTGCTATTCTTATTCAGCTCATGGTTATACAGTCCTATTAGTGAAGCTTAGTGGGTGTAGCCTCTGACAAAGCTAGGAGACACAGTCTTGGAGCAAATTCCTTATTCGTTGGCTCCTAAAATCTCTGTTCCTGGCCCCCTCTCTTACTGGCATTCAGGAGAGCTGGCCCTACTTCTCTAGGACAGCAGCACCTTGCCCAGGTAGTATAGTGGATCTGGCCTGGTAGCAGAGGGCATTGGTCAGCAGACCCTGAGGGCATAAGAGCTGACCCCTGCCACTCATCTGCTGTGAGGTGGCATAGGTGTGGGGGCGATTTCCGCCCTCCCTTTGCCCTTGCCACCAGGGAGCTGACCATGAGGTCATGAAAGCAGGAGAGCTATCCCTGCATCTCACCAGCTGTGGAACTCAGGAGAGCAAACCCTGCACCTCACCTGGGAGCACAGTAGGGCAGGCCCTGATGGCAAAGGTATGGGTGAATTGAAAGCCCTGAGGAATTGAAAGCAGGAAAGCTGGCCCAGCCCCTTGCCTGCTCCAGCACTTGGGAGAAGTGGTTCCATACCTTGACGGGCAACACAGTGTGCCCGAGCTGAGCTGACTCTTCCTCCTGCCAGTGGTGGCATTGGGTGGGCCAGACAGCCGAGTGCTGGAGAGCTTGCCCTGGAGAGCTTGCCCCAGTGGTGCTGATGTGGAAGAGCTGGCAGGCTGATTAGCTCAGATAATTAATAGTGTGAGTACTGGTGGCCTTTCCAAACATCCGTACTGTTATTTTAACTTCTTTCACCTGCTTCCTCCTCCTCTACGCTTTCCTAATTAGAGTCCCCACCCTGCTCTTTCCTTATCCCCAGTCACTGCTACTCTGCTATTCTCTACATTATTGCCCCCCTACCCCACCCTCCACTTCAGCAGAGATTCCTTGTTACTTTTCTGGTTTTTGTAGTTACTCTAGGAAATGTAGTCTCATCTGGAGAGTCAGAGTTAGGACCGTCGCATGTGAATGTGAAGTGTTCTCTCAGTATATTTTCTAGTTCCATCCATTTGCCCGCAAAGTTCATGCTTTCATTTTTCTTTGTGTATAGCACAACAGCCTTCCACAGTATATAGGTACCACATTTCATTATCCATCTGTTGGTTGAAGGACATTCAAGCTATTTCTGTTTTCTGACTGTTGTGAGTAGAGCCAAGGGACATAGCTGAGCAGGTATCAGTAGAGTGGAGTGTGTCATATGGCAGATTTATGTTTAGCTTTTTGAAAATTCTCCATATTGGAGTAGAGGTTGGACCATTTTGTAGTGAATAGTGGGTCCCTTTTCCCTCACCCCTCCAGCATTGGTTCTTTGCCATTCTGACTGGGATAAGAAGAAATAATCAACAAAGTTTTGATTTGCATTTTCCTAATTGATAAGGATAGTAAACATACTTATTTTGTTTTTGCTATTGTTCTTTTGAGATAGAGTCTCTCTGTATAGCCCTGAATGTCCTGAAATGCTGTGTAGACCAGACTGCCCTCAAACTCACAAGAGCTTCTTCTGCCTCTCCCCCCTGAGTGCTGTGATTAAAGGCACGTGTGTCCATGGCCAGGTTCAGTGTTCCCAGGCCCACTTTTCAGATGGGTTACTTGGGTTTTTTTTTGTTGTTGTTGTTTTGTTTGTTGTTCTGTTTATATATTCTAATTATTACTTCATTGACAGAAATGTATAGCTCAAAGATTTTTTGGGGGGCATCTTCTTCACAGAGTTGAGTCTTTTTTTCTTTATCCGTTTTTTTTTAAAGTTGGTCGTTTCTTTAGTTGTGAACAAGTTTTATGAAGTCCTTGTCAGGTCTTAATTCAAATGGAGTAAGCCGGGCAGTGGTGGCGCACGCCTTTAATCCCAGCACTTGGGAGGCAGAGGCAGGTGGATTTCTGAGTTCGAGGCCAGCCTGGTCTACAGAGTGAGTTCCAGGACAGCCAGGGCTACACAGAGAAACCCTGTCTGGAAAAACCAAAGGAAAACAAAACAAAACAAAACAAAAACAAATGGCGTACTCGTTAGACAGTCCTTTCCTAAACACCTATATCCTGCAGGATACTGTCTGTTTTCTAGCAGTTTCAGGGGTTCAGGCTTCAGGCTTAGGTCTTTGATCCATTTAGAATTAGTATTTGTATAAGATGATAGATAGATGTGTCTAATTTTATTCTTCAGTATGTGGACATCCAGTTTTCCCAGCACCATTTACTGAAGATGCTTTATTTTCTCCAGCAAATCCTTTTGGCATCATTGTCAAATATTAAATGACTGAATTTGTGTGTTCTTGTTTGTTCTGTTCCATTGATGTGCATATCTCTGTTGGTTTTGGTTTTTGCTAGTACACACTCTTCATGACTATGGCTTTATAATATATCTTAAGATCCTGAATGACAGTCACTTCAGCATTGGAGTTTTTTGTTTGTTTGTTTGTTTTGGTTGTGTGGGATCTTTGTGGTTCCATAAGAATTTGAGCTTAGTTTTTTATATTTCTGTGAATGAGATGGAGATTCAGGTTGGGATTACACTGAATATATTGTCACTTTTTAAATAGTAAAGAACTTGCAAAGAGAAAGATAGGATCTCACTTTCTGGTCCTGGCCTTGGTCTCAGTCTCATGAGTGGATTACAGGATGAGCTGCCAAATCCTTTTGTTAATACTCCTTCCAGTGATGTCAGCTTCACTATTCTGTTTCAGGTCTGCGGATCAATGGAGAGCTAATCTCTGCGTACCCACAGGTGGTGGTAGTGAGAGTTCCAACCCCATGGGTGCAGAGTGATAGTGATATCACTGTTTTGCGCCACCTAGAGAAGATGGGGTGCCGACTGATGAACCGACCTCAAGCCATCCTAAACTGTGTTAATAAATTCTGGACATTTCAAGAGTTAGCTGGGCATGGCGTGCCTCTACCAGATACTTTTTCTTATGGTGAGTTCGCAGATAAGAGGAATGTTTCTTTTGGGGGCCTAAAGAGATGGCTCTGCAGGTAAGAGTGCTTACTTTACCAGTATGAGAACCTGAGTTCAGATAGCTTGCACTCTTGTGAAAGATGGATGTGTTCATGTATCCTGTAGCCACAGTGCTGTGCAGAGTGGACAGGAAGATCACTGGCTACCAGCATAGCTCCAGGTTCAGTGAGAAACACTGTCTCAGGGAATAAGGCACGTTCTAGTGGTAGACTAAGACATAACATCCTTCTATGACATACACATGGACTAGTGCATGCATCACACAGAAACACATAGAAAGGTGTTTAGTATCCCATATTTAACTAATAGAAAAAACCAATTGAACCAGAAAGAGCTTATCTTATAGAAGTAATGTTCAAGATGGTTGTGACGGAGGTAAAGGCAGGAAGATTTGGGTTCTAGGCCAGCCTAGAGTATATAGCAAGGCAGAGAAGCATCCTGGGCAAGAGGAGTCATGATGTTTATTTTTCTAAGATTTATATGTGCACATGCCTCTATTTACACTCCATGCATGCATTGCCCCTAGAAGCCAGAAGAGGTCATTGGGTTTCCTAGAGCTGGAATTAACAGACAATTTGAGCCTATCATGTGGGAGCTGTGAATTGAGCTTGTGTTCTTAACCAGTGAACCATCTCTCCTGCTCTGTAAGTCACATTTTAAGGTTAGCTTTGTGACATGGAGTTTAAAAGGTTTAGCACAACTTTTCTGTAAAGTCTAGTTAGTAAGCATCTTTAGTTTTACAGTCCAGAAGTTCTTTGTAGGGACTGTCAACACTACTCTTGTAATGTGATAGCTGCTAGCTACAGTGCTTAAACAAATGAGTATTTCTGTGTTCAAATTGTAAAATCAAGCAGTAAGCCAGAAATACCCCACAGGCCGTGGGTTTTTCATAGCTTAATATTTTTATACTGTTTAAGAAATGGACTTTATTAAAGATGGGATTAAAGGTTTACCAGTGAATCCTCACTGTAGGAACACCTGACTCATAACGGAGATAAGAAAGAAATCGTACGTTTGAAAGCTTGTGATATCAGTACAATATCAACAATTGGAAATTTACAGAAATTAAGAGTTTAATCCCTCACCATTAAAGGTACAATTAACTGTCTAGTGAGCAGTTTTTGCTTTCCCAAACTGAACCACCAAGAGCATTAGGAAATCAGCCTGTAAGTGGCTCACACTAATTTTGTACTTTTGTGTAAATACTAAAAGCAGTAACTCTATCAACACGAGTGTGGGGTTCCATTCTTTATAGTAAGACAAGGAATTCTTTTAAAACCTCATTAAATCTTTAAGCATTCTACTGAGCATTATTTGAAAAAAATGCTTTCATAAAAAATGATAGTGTAATTTATAATTTCATCACTCAGGAGCCTGAGGCAGACAAATCTGAGTTCAAGGCCAGCCTGGTTTACAGAGGATGGCCAGGGCTACACAAAGAAACTCTGTATCAAAAAAAGAAGAAAATGAAAAGAAAACAATACTTCTGTAGAACGCTGGGTGACATGGTACAAATCCAGTAACTGTAGCACCAGAGAAGCAGAGGCTGGAAGATTTGAGGAAAGCCTGGTTACAGAGCAAGTTCAAGGCCATCAGCCTTAAACAAACAAAATTAACATGGTGTTATCTATATCAGTGTTAACTCAAAATGTGCCTCTTATGATGTTTGCTATGGGCTGGTGATCAAGTACAAAAACCATTTCACGTTAGTGTTAGTGCACATCAGTTTAACTCTGTCAGAGTTTAAGTACTGCTTTAAAGTCTCTTTATTAAAGATTTACCAGTGAATGCTCACTGTAGAAACACCTCTGACTCATAACAGAAATAAGAAAGAAATTGTATGTTTGAAGAGTGGGGTATCCAATTTAAAAAACAAAACAAAATAAAACCATGCTGGGCCTAGTAGCACAGGCCAGTAATCTTAGCTACTCAGGAGCTAGATAGAGGCAGGGAAATCACATGTTAAGCACAATTTGGACTGAGTTCAAGGTCAGCTTTGGTAACTTAGTGAAATTTTGTCTACAATAAAAAATAGATGGTTGAAGATAACAGCCTGGTAAAATTGTTTGCTTAGCGTGTGTGAAAGTGGGTTAAATCTGTAGGGCTACACACAGTACAGAACCCAATAAAGCACTGGGACAAAAAAAGAAGTGTGGATTTTGGAGTATAACAGGGGCTCAGATAACTCATTTAGCTGTATCCATCGGATTCTTTGCAGAAAGAATGTCCAAGAATGTGCATTGGAGAAGAGACTATTGCAGGCTGGGAAACCTGGGTAGCCACAAGTAGAAGAAACTAAATCCCTATTTGTCACCCTGCAGAAAAATATCAGAAGTGATTAAAATATCTCTCTCTGATTAAAAATCTCTCTCTCTCTCTCTCTCTCTCTCTCTCTCTCTCCCTCTCTCCCTTTCTCCCTCTCTCCCTCCCTCTCCCTCTCTCTCCCTCTCTCTCCCTCCTTTTGGTTTTTTGAGACAGGGTTTCTCTGTGTTGCCCTGGCTGTCTTGGAACTCACTCTGTAGACCAGGCTGGCCTCCAACTCAGAAGTCCACCTGCCTCTGCCTCCCAAGTGCTGGGATTAAAGGCGTGCGCCACCACCACCTGGCTTAAAATCTCATTATAGGCTCTGAAACTATGCAACCACTAGGGGAAAACACTTTTAAGATAATTTGTAGACAATTACACACCCACTGCAGTTCTTAAAATTTTATTATTTTGTGTATGGTTGCTTTGTATGTCTGCACTGAGTGCTGCCAGTGTAGATGAGAAATGGATATTAGATCCTCTGAAACTGGAGTTTTGAACAGTTGAGAACTGTCATATGGGCACTGGGAATTAGCTAGGTCTTCTGGAAGAGTAGTCAGTGTGTTACTGAGCCATCTCTTTATCCTCCAAAGATACTATTTTCAACAGCTAGTTTATACTTAATTTCTTCAAGAAAAACAGAAATTAGCCATCAGTCTCTTAACCTACCTCCCTTGTGCTGTGCTTAAAATTGGTCCCAACATACTTCTGATATTAGCCAATTAATTTTTTCCTCAAACCAGGTGGCCATGAAAACTTTGCTAAAATGATTGATGAAGCGGAAGTGCTGGAGTTCCCAATGGTAGTGAAGAATACACGGGGTCATAGAGGTGGGTAAGATTTGTGGATATGGTATTTAGTTTTGAAATTGCTTTTGCAAATTAACAAGGGGGATTTTGGATCAGCACTTCTGAAGAATAATTGAAGACCAATTGAAGACCAACCAACAAGTGGTATGAGACCACAAACTTATAGGAGATTTCCAAGACTTCCATTTGGTGAGATGCTGCTCCTGTTTAGAAGGTACAGAAGTGTTAGCGTGCATAAATAAATCCAAAATTAGTGTTCCTCTTCAGCAGTAGATAGTCGCCTAAGTTGAATCACCCCCATCCCACAGGTTGTCTAGTTGGAATACTTGAATGTCTAAGGCAGAATTGATAAAACATTTTAGTAAATTAATCATACTGCATTATAAATGCTGGCTTTGTTGAAATTTTCTGCATCATACTAACTATTCATTGACCTTTAAATGCAAAATCACATGAGGTCTCTGGACCTGGACAAATAGCACTTTACCAAATGTCATGTCTGTGGCCTCTATTCTAGTTCCCAGTAGTCTTCATGGCCATCTGAAACCTCATGCACATGGTCTGCTGTAACATCTCTAGAGCTGGCATAATGAACACACATCTTCCTGTGTTTCCAAACTCTTCCACAGAAACAGTCCAGAGGGCTCTTGCCCACATACATCATCAGGAGCATGTTCAGCAGTGTGTGAAGTCTTGATACCAGTGTTCTATATCAGTCATTTCCCCCTTACTTTGATAAATAAACACTTGACCCAAACATCCCTGTATGGAGTAATACTTTCATAGGTTTTTATTCTCTGTCTCAAGAGGGCTACTGCATTAACAATACATTTTTCTTGACCTTCTTTCAAGAATGTTGTTTTACTAGATCTTTTCTCTGGGCCACTATCTGGTTGTCATGCCTCAATATTTATCAGTATATTATATAACATTCTTTTTGAAGAACATGTTTTTCAGAAACTTGCACTGTGATGGTAGGTTGGCCAAAGATCTAAGGTTTGTTGTTACCTTAAGATGTTTATGCCAAAAGTGTCAGCTTTTGTATATCCCACGTAGCCATTCTACCTACCCTAACTGTTGGACGTTCTTTCCATATGCAGAGTTAGATTCCTCCAGTGCTGGTGTACTTGTTGGACCTTTCTCCTCTCAGTATTTCCCACAGCTAGGCTCTGTTCCTAGGGCAGCAGTCTATTTCTAGCCATTGTATTTGCAGTCATCCCCAAGCCAGCCTGATTCCTGTTGACGTAGCAAGTACTGTTGACTTTTAAACAGAAAATATAATAAATACAAGGATATGATGTGCAGTACCTTGACTGGGAAACGTGGTTCAAAATTCAATTAAAGCCATTGAGTTCATGGTTTACGTGGCTTCTATAATATGATAGCTAAGAACCTGGGACCTCCTGTGGTGAATGCTCAGTAAATAAAAAAGCTGCACACAGTACTCGACTTAAGAGTTAGAAGTCAGAAAAATGGAACCTAGCCGGGTGGTGGTGGTGCACACCTTTAATCCCAGCACTTGGGAGGCAGAGGCAGGCGGATTTCTGAGTTTGAGGCCAGCCTGGTCTACAGAGTGAGTTCCAGGACAGCCAGGGCTACACAGAGAAACCCTGTCTTGAAAAACCAAAAAAAAAAAAAAAAAGAAAAAGAAAAAGAAAAATGGAACCTAGAGTCAGTTCCCCCAGGGAAGAACTTATAGCCACATGTTGAAAAGAGCTACTTCTACTGGCATAAAGATAAACAAAGCAATGAGGCAGACTAGATAATTCAGAAACAATTTATCTATGATATTGCTGTGTTACTGTATTGTAATACATTGTTAGTATGTAATAGGTATGCATATTTAAGTCAGGGCAAGGGCTTTGCTAAAGAATGAGCTAAATTGACTAACCTTTGGAGGAATACAGTGCGGGTCATTTACATTATAAACTCAAGGTGAATAGTTAACCGTAAGAGTTTGTGTTTGGGGGAAATATAGGAAATAGTTAAGTTTGACTCTTACACATTATCTCAGTAATCATAACTAAATCACTGTCAAAGAATACTGTAAAAATGTACAAGTATAATTGGTTCTGAAGGAATATATTGGGACGCAAGAATGTATATTTATCAACTATTCAGTTTCATGACTTGCATGTATTGTATATTTTTATTCTTTTTAAATCCTAGGCAAAGCTGTTTTCTTGGCACGAGATAAACACCATTTAGCAGACCTAAGCCATCTTATTCGGCATGAAGCTCCATATTTGTTCCAGAAATATATTAAAGAGTCTCATGGAAGAGATGTACGAGTCATTGTTGTGGGAGGCCGTGTCGTTGGCACCATGTTACGTTGTTCCACAGATGGAAGGATGCAAAGCAACTGTTCCTTAGGTAAAGATACTGCAGCATCTTTCTGTTGGCATATAAGTGAGTGTGCCTTACACATGGAAATCATGTGAGAGAATTAGGTTTCACTGGTCATGAATTTACTCTCTATTTTGTGATAACTTAAATTTTTCATTTCTGTTCAAGTTTTTCATGCTTCTATACATCGTATGCTTAGCATATCCTTCATACCCAGCCACTCTTGCTTTCCTTGCCTCTCTTCCACTGGTCCCTTGGTCACCTTAAAAGCTTTTAACTTTAATGGGCCTTGCCACATCCATTGCTAGGATTAAAGGCAGTGGTCCATCGCACACGTGGCCATCATCCCCATGATTGACTTGTATTTTAGTAAGCCGTTATCTAGAAAATGTCTCCTTTTGTTTTTATATATACAAATACATATACAACTGTTTTGCCTGATGTGTATCATATGCTCTCAGGCCTGAAAAGGGCATCGGGTCCCCTGGAAATGCAGTTACAAGTGGTAAGCTAACTTGTGGGTGCTGGGATTGAATCTGAGTCCTTTGTAAGAGCAACTAGTGCTGCCAACCTGGAGCCATCTTTCCAGTGTCCCCTCTCCTCATTCTGTGGCTTGTGTACTTCCAATACAGTTTCTCAGATTTTCTATTTTGTTTCATGATTTTAAGGTTGTTTTGTTTGTTTGGGGGGGTATTTGTTTTTTGAACGGTGCTTTAAATATATCCCCTATATTTGATTTCATTGATTGTACTTCTTTTGTTTGGATTTGTTCTGTTTTGAGAAGCTGCCCTTGAATTCATGGTAGCATAGGCTGATGTTGAGTTCTCCCCTGTCTCAGTCTCATGACTGCCCCTTCAGCACACTCTGCTCTCACAAACTGCACTGTCCTTTATTTCTTCTGTGCTCGTAACTGCTGAGCTATCTCTCCAGCCCCCTTTGTCTCTATTTATCTGTATATTAAATTAATGTTTTTGAGACAGTCATACCATAAAGCCTTTGCTGGCCTGGAACACACTCTAGACCAGGGTGACCTCAAATCCCAGCTCCACTGGGATTGTACTCTAGACCTGATTCACTTGTTATATAAAAGCCAGATGGTCTAACTTTTTATGCAAAAGAGATAAACACCATTTAGTGGATCTAGGCTAACAGAACTTTCCATATCTGGGGGTTCAAGTGATTTAACTCAGGTGAATAGAGCTCTTTGTATGTATGCTTCCTAAAGGTTCCTCAAAGCAGAAACTATGCTAAATCAGTAGGAGTCAAGAAATAGACAGTCACTCTCTACCTTAGCCTCCTGGAATGCTCATCCTTTCCTTGGCACTGTTAGAGTCTTTGGATTGAGTTTATGAACTGGAAAGTTGAGCCTACAATTGTTGCTCCTGCCTTGAACATACTGTCATTGTTCTTAAGCAATAACATTTTAACAACTCTTTGGAGTTTCCATTGTAGCAGATATTACACTCTAGACCTGATTTAAAGTATGCAGGAGGTTGTAAGTACTACAGACTCTGTTAAGGGCTTGTGACCTTCTTTTCTTAGGCATGTTATCTCTGGCAGCGATAGAAGATTCTGGAAACCTTCCCTTGTGATACTATTTGGTTTATGTTATCATAAGCAGGATAAACCCTAAGGGCAGTTTAATGTCTTCCTAAGACTTCCTCACTTTTCTTTATGTTCTGGAAGATTAAAAACTTAATTTTAAGCCAGTGGTGATAGTGCATACCCATAATTCCAGTACTCAGGAGGCTGAGGCAAAGGATGGTGAGTGAGGCTGTTTGGACTACATGATTACCATCTAGCCTCGATAGGACAAAGCAAAAACCAGTTTACAATTAGAACTGTGTTAATTCTACTTCTAAAACTCTCTCCCTCTTCTCTCCAGGTGGTGTGGGGATGATGTGCTCACTGAGTGAGCAAGGGAAGCAGCTAGCTATCCAGGTGTCGAATATCCTGGGAATGGATGTATGTGGCATTGACCTGTTGATGAAAGATGACGGCTCCTTCTGTGTCTGCGAGGCCAATGCAAATGTAGGTTTCATCGCCTTTGATAAGGCTTGTAATCTAGATGTAGCTGGTATCATAGCAGACTATGCTGCCTCCCTTCTGCCCGCTGGCCGGCTCACCCGGCGCATGTCCCTGCTCTCTGTGGTGTCCACTGCCAGTGAGACTAGTGAGCCGGAGCTTGGTCCCCCTGCCAGCGCTGCTGTCGACAACATGAGCGCAAGTTCCAGCTCTGTTGATAGCGACCCCGAAAGCACCACCGAGCGAGAGCTTCTCACCAAGCTCCCAGGGGGGCTGTTCAACATGAACCAGCTGCTAGCCAATGAAATCAAACTCCTGGTGGAGTGACTCCACTGGTAAATAGTTAAACAACAAAACCTTGTAAAACTGTCTCCCTGCACCCCATCCCTTTCCCCTTTAACCAACTTGCAATGCTGTTCATGGAGAAGGCTGAGAAGGTTGAGATAAAGGTATAGTAAGATTGGTTAGAAGAAGGGAAAATAGATGAGACCCCTAATAGTAAGACATAACTGATTCATTTACAGATTTCACAGAGGAATACTAGGTGACACACAGAGAAATGGCAGGCTCTCATGTTAACCTTTTCAGTTACTAAAACCCTGCTCTTAGGCCATGAGGAACATGAAAGTTTTTTTTTTTTTTCTCCCCATGGTCTCTTGCTTTTGTTTTTATGTGGAATGATTTTGATCCAAATACTTGGTAGCATGACTTCAGTTTCAAGATTTGTAAAGAGGAAAACATCCGCTTAAAATACAGAAATGTTTTAAATAAGAATCTGAAAATTCTGCCGTTTCTCTCAGCTAGCATTTAGCGCATAGTTGTTTATGAACTCTAAGGGGCTCTGACTGGAATTTCTTATTTTCATGTTTGTCTTTGTTTTTTTCCCCTTAATTTGGGTGGGAGGGTAATGTGATTATAATCCAATAAAGATTTTTAATAACAAAATTGGCATGTTTGCATGATGAAAGGAAAATGAACAGTATTGCAATGTCTGGTATACAAAGTAACATTTACTCAATGTAGATAAAGTTACACTAGTTAAAAGTTTGTGCATTGACTTGTATTTGTTAGTGTTTTAGTCTTTTTTTGAAGGATATATGCTCTGTTAATGTTGCATTTTTAATACATGCTGGTAACACCCTTGCTCTATGACTGCATCTTTAATAATGGCCAAAGTAAACAAAATGCTACTTTTTTTGGTTAATAAGATAACCACTCAAAACACACACATTTAAAAGTCTCCCTGCCTTCCTTTTTTCCTCTTTTGATGAGTTAGACATTTTAAGGATATAAAAGACATTTCAAGGAGACAAGTCAAGGTTATTAGGTATAAAGCTGAAAAGATTTCTTAATGCTAACTTTTTGTGTTTGCATTTTTTCACATTTTAGAAAGGAGTATATATGTCGCATGCAAGTGTACATGTTTTATTCTTTGTTTACACCAAACAGAAAGAATAGATTCTAGAGAATGGCATGATGGGAAGCAGTTTTTTACTTAAAACAAAGCAGATGAATTGCCTTAGACCTCAATAGTATAGAGATAACTTAAGTCCCCTAAAGACAATAGGAAAGTAGATGTTTCTTAGGCTTTTTTGTGTGTATGTATGTTGTTTGTTTTTGTAGACTGTTTGGTGTATGATTTATTCAAGGGTACATGCTTTTATTTAATGTTGTGGCTGTGCATTTTCTTTTTTATGCTTAAGATCTGGAGGGAGGTGGGCTGGATGTTTATTGGGGGATTTATTTAAGTACTTACGAGTCTCATATAGCCCTACTCCTACGCCTTCAGTACTGACCACTCTGTTCCTTTTTTGAATTGATGAAAGCCCCAAACTGCATATAATATGAGCCTTTAAGTCAAGGAATAAAACAGTCTAGTGATGAGTCTGGAAGATGTGTTAAGAAGTGGAGATGCTTCAGGGATCGACATAATTTTTCCCCAAGCTTTTCTTGCTTCTCCAGTGCTGTTTTTCTTCAGATGGACCTTAACATAATTTCTTGGACACTACTTAGAGACTTCAAGGCGATAATAAAACATCAGCATTATCCAGCTCTAACAGAGGTTTGATCATGCGTAACTGTATAGTTCTTCCATTTTAAAAAGGAATGTAATAAAACTTGGTTTTCCCCATAGAATTAAATAATATTAAAACGGAGTGAAAGGTTTTATTGACAAATAGAATAGTACCTGTAATCTGTGCACTCTTCTCATTTCACCTCAGAAAAAAAACACATAAGGAGTTTCTAATTATATTTAGGGTACTCTAATTGCATCTGCACGTTCTGATCTGCCCAGGATTATTGGGAGTCGTACATACCTCTGATTCATTAACAGAATAAAAGTACTTGGTACTTTGCCGAATGATCATATTTTGGAGGGTACATACTATTTGGTATAGACAAATAAATGAGCAGCTGTGTAATCAGATCCTAAGACCATCTGGTTGCCACATACATTATGATATACATGTATATAAGTTCATGCATTTGAAAACATATAGAACATCTTCACTTGTTGAAAAATTCACTTTTTATGGTGGGATAATAAAGAAACAGGAAAATTATAGTTAGCCATTTTTCTAAAGCAAGCAGTGCTCTAAGAAGCTTTCCCAGCAGTTTCAGTCCTGTGCTAAGTACAGCTCTTCCCCAGCCACCCTCGGTGTCACACTCACACTCAAACTGAAAGTAGGAAGGGTGCTCATTTTGAATTCTCTCAAATTAAGGTAAACAATAAGAAAATTCATTCTGGAAGAACTCAAAGGAAACAAGTGAGAGTTGACATATTTTCATAACTTTTGTGTAGTCTTCATTACTACTGTGAGAAAATGTATCAAATTTGTGTAATCGTGCCAAAAATCTGAATTACTGTAAGTTTTGTGTACACTGTTAAAATTGTAATTGTTAGTTGTATTTTAATGATTCTGATTTTGTTTTTATGTTAACTTATGATGAGAATTGGACTCATAGATCCATGCATTATGAACTATGCCACTTAAACTTTCTAATTGAGTCAATTTTTTTGATATTTTGTTCATTTCTGCTGGCTTTTCTCCAATGAACTTTGAAATCTTTCTCTATGCTCTCAATAAGAAACTACTTGGAACATTAGAAAAAAAATCCAGCAAGAGACTTGCTTTCATCAAGCACTTTATCAGACTTTAAGACAAAGCACTGGAGGCATTGGAAAAGGGCCCTGACCATCAATCATCTTACTCAAGAAGGAGAAGAGTGGAAACCCTGTGCTCTTCACTCAGAGAACCCCCAGTGTGTGGGGTTGGGGGGTGTTAGAGACACTGTGAAATCAAATCTTGTGTTATCTTTCTCCTGGTTCGCTGTTTTTGAGAAGGTTTGTGGGCTATTTGGCTGGTGAGACACGATCCCCTCCTAAGAACATGTAGGTGCTCAGACAGGTAACCTCTGCTGCTGTTTGTTTGTCTGTTTGTTGGCTTTTATTTAAAATTTACCTTTGTTGTGCTAGGATTTTTTTTTAAATGTAATATATTGCAGGATTTATAACCAGGTTCACTGCTTTCTTTTGTTTCTTAAAAAAAAGAAGAAGAAAAAGTTTCACTTAATATAATATAGGCGCCTTGGAATGTTTTAGTGATGGACAGAAGTCTGCTATTGGAATCATCTAGTCTTCCAGATTAGATTTAAAATGTTTTCATTTTGTTTTGGGGTGTCTGTGATATTTTATTTCCTTTATCCCAATGTACTTTGCCATGCCTTTTGGGGTGGCTGCCTAACTCTAGGGAAAAAATTTTTTCTATGTTAACAAAAGTTTGGTTCTTAAAATTTCCTTAATGTTTACATTTTTAAAATGGTTTTTCAAGAAATATTCTAATATTTTGCACTGTTACTGTTCTTTGCCAGCCTTTTCAGGAGCCAAAATATACAAATACAAACAAACAAAAAATACTCAGAGAAAATACTTTCCTTCTTCCCCCTTCCTGCTGATGAGTGAGACGTTTTGAGAGCTTTGGGGTCAGTGCCCTTCTAAACTTCCCCTCCCCCAGTAACGCAGCTGCGCAGTGCGTGCTCAGTGCAGTGGCTCGGACCGTGCCCAGCCCAGCCTGCCGGCAGGTAATTGATCTCTCCTCAATTTCTATCAGAAGGCTAACATTTTACTTTTTTAAAGTTTTCTTTCTGTAACACTTTAAAAGTTTATCATAACTTGGTTTTTACAAATGCATAAATATGATAGCAAGTAATGTAAAGAGTTTTTGGGGTAAAGTTTGAATTGATTGGGATGAACTGAGAACGTGGGGATTTTGTTTATCCATTTAGAGTCTCCATTCCTTGCATATATGTCTATAATTAAGTTTTTCTGAGTGTGACTTTTTGGCTTTGTTTTGTTGTGGGTTTGTTTGTTTCTTCCATTGTGCTACTCTGGCTTAAGCTTTTTCAGGGCTTGGTGTTCCGAATACACAGTGAGCTCACAGTATAAAGACATCAATTAGGAGTTGACAGGTATGGAAAACTAGAGCTGTGTAAAGTAAATTAGGCTTTAGGTTATATATACGGGTTTAAAATACTCTGTAGTGTTTATTTGGCCATAGTGAAGTGGAAGGGACTTGGGAAGCACAATAGAAAGCCTTTAGTCATTTTAGAGTTAATGTATACAGAAGTAATTGCTGTAGCTCGATACACTAGTCCTAACAGAGATAAATGTGGTTAAAGACAATCAGATTCTAAAGCATACACATTATAGATAAATTTCTGAAGCACAGCATGGTAACCAGATAGCTAGCCAGGGTCGTAAAACAAAGTCAGTGGCAGAGTCGAAGTATAGTTGTACAGTTTGATAGTCTTTCATTTGTTCTCTCTTCCCCTTTCGTCTATCCTCCCTGTCTTCCTGTTTCCTCCTTTCCTGTCCTTTCTAAGGTTTTCACTCTGAAAGCTACTCCTTATATTTTACATTTGGGGCAGTAATCTCTTTATAATAGAGACATTAGCCAGCACCTTCTTATCTACTATCTGAAAATGTCCTACTCAAGAGTGTGAACATTCAGCAAACCACTAGTTAATGAATAAGAAACCTAGTCCTTGGTGCTTTCTACACCTAAATAGAGGCGTGTAATTCATTATTAGCCTATTCTGTGCTTCAGTTGACACATGAGATAGGGACATCCTCTAGCGTCTTAAGATAATTAAGACTGTTGAACTGAACTGAAATTTACGTGTCCAGGAATCCCAGCTGCAGTCCTGCAGGGATATATGAAGTGTTCTGAGGAGGAGTCCTTCAGGAGACTCCCGTTCTCTGGATGAGAATGGCCACCATTACAATGTCTGCATAGTGTAGGGTGTGCAGAGTTTATTTAAGCAACCTCCATTCTGCTGCCCATTAAATCCTGCTGACTTGTAAGGACTCTTGCTTTAGATTTTATCGTACTCAAAGTTACTAGGTGGACCTTATATAGTATGTTTACCTGGCTGCTATTTGGGGTTTGGGGAACATGAGGGGTGGGGTGAACTGTTGTTGTTTTAGGTTTCAGTCAGACAGACATCCCTGCGCCTCAGTTCCCAGAAGCACAGCAGGCCTCTAGGAGCATCCGTGGGAAAGGCGCAGTCCTGCATCACCAGCTTCTCCTGCTCAGGCTCATCCCATATGCAGAGGTCAAAAGGGTGGGGCTTGAGATGGGGGAAGGAACGAGAACGTAGAAGCCATGGCATTGCAGTGCTGCCGTTGACCAGCTTTTGGTGCTTCTGTCAGTGTGTGTTTGCTTGTTTTAAGTTGGCAAGTCTGTACATACTTTTATTTGGGAGGGTGGAAAACAAGCCATTATTATTGCTAGTCAGTCTTGGGAATAGTTCCTCAGTATGTAAGGTCAAATAAATTTCAAATGTAGACTCCAGTGGCAAAGAATGGGAATAGGAATATTCAAGTTTTAAAGGCAGAAGACATCATCCTGTGTTAACTCTCAGCTACTTAGAACCATGTTTGTCATTCTTTTCCCTCCCCCAAATTTTGCTGTGTTTGTAAATAGTTTAAGGAAAATACATTCATGGTCAGTTGTTTCTAAGGGACTTACCGAATATTAACTCGTTTGAAAAAAAATACCCACTGCTTATCTGGGCATACAAATGCTACCCTATTTTAAATGTAGGTGGCGTATGTGTTCGTGCTTTAATGTATTCAGAGCCATTGGGCAATAAGCAGTCCAGAACATTGAAATCTCAAGCAGGTAAAGCACCTAATACCCTTAGTTTCTAGAATTACTTTAAATACTTTATATTGTGTGTTCTTTGAGTAGTCTCTGAATTTGAAATTTGTAGGTGTTGTAGACTACCAAGATAAATTTTCCATAGTTGTAGGAATACGTAAGGAAGGGAAACAGCAGAACATACCGTGGCTCTGAGACAATGACTGCGGAGTGGACAATCGTTCCTCTCCTTCCTTTTCATTTTTAATTTTCCTAGCTTAGCATGAACACTGACCATACATTATTTGATTTTCTGTGATTGGGTTTTCTCTACTGATTATTGAGGTGGGATGGGCAAGATATGAAAGTGTTGATTCACATGTTAAAATATGTAATGCTAAAGCTTTGTTTAATTTGAGCAATAAGCAACGCCTTTTTCTATATACCCTTCTGCTGCAGCAGAGAGATAGACTGGTAGGTGGCAGCAGAGAAAGGAGTTCTTCAGACTGATGGCTGTGGACATTAAGCCTACATAGGAGAAGAGATGGCATGTGACATACCAAGTGGAGCGAGGAGCAGCAGCAGAGATGGAAGCTGGCCTGGGAAGGCTGCCACTTCACTGAAGGTAGGATACTTCCAACCCAGAGCGGGATTTGACTGCTGTGTAAGGTGGGAAAACTTGATGCCTGTCATTTTCTGCTTCAGATGGAGTCTGACCTTACTGGTGCATTATCATTCTTCCTTTGAAAAATTTAGCATTATGCAAAGTTAAAATCCCACCAATACATAGAAACATTGACCTTTAATTGTGTCAAAACTATGTTGAATGCAGTTTTAAACTATTTTATGAAATTAAGACCCTCCCCTTTAGTAGGAATGCTGGAGTAAGGAGAGCAGGTCTCCTGGCACCTCAGTGCTCCTGACGGTGCACCCTCACCAGTCTGGCAGAGTCTGTCTCTCTGTCTGTCTCTCTCTCTTTCTGTCTCTCTCTGTCTCTGTCTCTCTCTATCTCTCTGTCTCTCTCTCACTCTCACGTTCTCTCTCTCTGTCTCTCTTCCTCCCTCCCTCTCTGTCTCTGTCTCTCCCTTCCCCCTTTACCTGACCCTTTTTTATCTTCCTTCAATTCTCCCCATTGCCTCAAGATTTTTACTTACTCAGTGTTGCCCTGCTCCTTGGTCCTTTTGTTGTTGCTGCTGCTGCTGTTTTGTGCCTTGTCTTGGAACTCACTATGTAGACTAGGCTGGCCTTGAACTCACAGAGATCAACCTGCCTCTGCCTCCAGAGTGCTGAAATTAAAGGCATGCAGGTTTTTGTTTGTTTTTCTGTTTTTTAAAGTTTACTTTTTTTTTTTTTTTACAGTACAGTCATTGCCCTTTTCTCAGTCTTCCTCATCCCATTCCTCCTTCCCCTGTCTCCAAGAAGATATTTTCCTCCACCTCCACCTGGCCTCCCCACCTCTCCACTCCCCGAAGCTTCAAGTCTCTTTAGGGTTAGGTGCATCTTCTCTCACTGAGGCCAGACCCTGAGGCCAGACCCTGGCAGTCCTCTGCTGTATATGTGTCTGTGGCCTCGGACCAGCTCCTGTATGCTGCCTGGTTGGTGGCTCAATATCAGAGATCTCAAGGGTCTGGATTAGTTAAGACTGCTGGTCTTCCTATAGGGTTGCCCTCCTCCTCCTCTTCTTCCAGCACAGGGATCACTAGCTTCTGTCCATTGGTTGGGTGTAAATATCTACATCTGACTCCTTCAGCTGCTTGTTGGGCCTCTCAGAGGGCAGTCATGCTAGGCTCCTGTCTGTAAGCACACCATAGCATCAGTAATAGTGTCAGGCCTTGGGGCTTCCCCTTGGGTTGGATCCCAATTTAGGCCTGTCACTGGATCTCCTTTCCTTTATTTAGGCTCTTCTCTGTTTTTGACCCTGCAGTTCTTTCAGACAGGAACAATTCTGGGTCTAAGTTTTTTACTGTGGGACAGCAACCTCATCCCTGTACTTGATGCCCTGTCTTTCTGCTGGAAGTAGGCTCTACAAGTTCCCTCTCCTCACTGTTGGACATTTCATCTAAGGTCCCTCCCTTTGAGTCCTGAGAGTCTCTCATCTTCCAGGTCTCTAATACTTTCTAGAGGGTCCTCCCACCTCCCACTTTCACCCCAGAGATTACATATTTCCATTCATTCTGCTAGCCTTCAGGGCTTCTCCCCGTCTTCTCTCCCTTCTTACCTGATCATGATCTTCAGTGATTATTTTCTTCTCCTTCCTAAGTGGGATTGAAGCATCTTCACTTGGGCCCTTCTGCTTGCTAACCTTCTTGAGGCCTGTGGATTGTATCTTAGGTCTTCTGTACTTTTTCGGCTAATATTCACTTATTAGTGAGTACATAACATGCATGTCCTTTTGGGTCAGGGTTACCTCACTCAGGATATTTTCTCGTTCCATCCATTTGCCTATAAAACTCATGATGTTCTCGTTGTTAATAGCTAGTAGTATTCCATTGTGTAAATGAACCACATTTTCTGTAACCATTCTTCCATTGTGGAACATCTGAGTTCTTTCCAGCTTCTGGCTATCACAGATAAGGGTGCTGTGGACATAGTGGAGCATGTGTCCCTGTGATACGGTGGGGCATCTTTTAGGTATATGCACAGGAGTGGTATAGCTGATCTTCAGTAGATCTATTTCCAATTTTCTGAGGAACCACCAGATTTCCAGAGTGGTTGTACCAGTTTGCAATCCTACCATCAATGGAGGAATGTTCTTTCTCCACATCCTCGACAGCATCTGCTGTCACCTGAGTTTTTGATCTTAACCATTCTGACTGGTGTGAGGTGGAGTCTCAGGGTCATTTTGATTTACATTTCCCTGATGACTCTTGTTTTACATCAGTGTCTTTTAGCTCAGGGTGTCCTCAAACTCCTGACCCTTTGGATTCTACCAATGAGTACAGACATGCACACTGTGAGCAGCTCAGATAAATGGTAAAAACAATTGACCCAAACAGGCAATGGTTCCCAGGAGCATATTTGTTAGCTGTCTTATTGTTACATGGAAGTAATTGTTTTCGAATATACATGGATAGAAATAGGACATCCAGAGATAGGTGACATTTGCAAAGATTCATTATCAAGTATAGTCTTGAATTCAAGCTCAGGTTAGTCAGGTTTGTACTTCTAGCAGTTTTACATGCTAAGCCATCTCTTAAGTCCTAGGCAAGTCTGGGCAACTTTTCTGAACTTTAGCTTCATCCCCAGAACCCATGGTGGAAGGAGAGAACCATCTTCTGAGAGAGTTGCCCTTTGATGTGTTTGCATAACGAACACAATAAATAATTTAAATTAGGAAACGATTTCCCAGGATTACAGAGCCAGAGCTAAAACCATTTTCTTTTATTTTAAAGTGTTCTTTACATTTTACACCACATTCTTTAACATCTGTAGTTACCAGAAACATAACCCTGCAGTGGGAGCTGTCCTTAAGCAGTGTAAGCCTGGGGGGGGGGGGGTCTTTGGGAAAGCTTTGTGTACTTCTCAGCATGTCTACTGCTTATATGCCCTTCGCTTGTTTACGTGCATGTTCATTGTTTACAGGCACGTTGACTTGGCTTCCTGTTCTTTCCAAACCAATTTGGAGCCTACAGGTGGCTCACTCACTCCAGAGGCTGAGCTTCTGGCATTCACCAGCACTTACAGTCATGCCTACACACCCACATGCGAGCCTATGCACAATTCAGAACAAAATCTTTTGAGTAAGGAAAGATGCAAAGACTCCTTTGTGCTCTCTAAAATATCTGTTGAAAAGAGAACACATTCACACCATGAAGCCTGCCTCTGTTTTGTACATTCCATTCCTGTTTGAGAAAATGAGTCAGTCTGTCACAGAGATGAACTCTTCTGAAGGTCTTTTTTTTTTCCCCTTGTAGATTTTAAAACTAAAGAGGGATAGGTAGAGACAGCAGGGTGAGTAATAATAACACGTAGTGTGGGACACCTGCTTGTCCTAATGTTGAAAAAGACTCTGCTGCGTAAACACTTATGTCCCAATATAGAAATGTTAAAAAAAAAATTAAGGCTGAAAAAAATGACCAACATGAATAGTAATCTGAAGTAAAATTTATTGTGCATGTAATTATTGAGAATTTAAGCTAGAGGACATGAGTAAGAGAATTAAAGTTATTAAGGAATTAAAGTATGTTTGTTTTGGGCCTCGTACAGTAATTTTATTATGTAAGAATTTTCATTTTTGTTTCCTTTTGAAGTAATACATTTATTTACAGTAACATTCTTAAATACTATAATGCAACCCATGGTTCTAGTTTTTAAAAAAATATGACCATTAAATATCTTTGTTAACTAAGATTAAGCCAAGTCGGAAAATGGTAATAATAAAAATTGAAGTTTTGTAACATATGGTAATGTTGGTTGACTTTTTGTTATTTTCCCCATTAATGAATTTTGGTTTTCCCCCAGGTTCTCTTGAAGTAACTGGTGGTCTTCTGGATGAAGACAGACCTGCGAGTGGAAAAAAAAATGCAGAATAAGAAAGAAGTAGTTCTTTATATCTTGTTGCATTCAGTGTGGGTTTTCTTTTTCTGAATTAAAAATACTGAATAGAAATAAAACTCATGGAGTGTGATTTGTTCTTTTAGCAGCTGTTGTTTGTATTCACTCCATCTTAAGTGTCATTCACCTTAGTCCAGGGTTCTAGACTCAGAGTTCCTTTCATTCTTTCCCACGAGCTGTCTTTACGGTGAAGTGAGTATTCCGTTGGCACATAGGCAGGCACTAAGCAGTGTTGGATGGTTTCCCATCTCCTCCTGCACACACTGAATGTTCATGCTGAGTATTGTTGCTGTGTTAATCTCTGAAGAGCACTCTTGAAAAAGAATAGTCCTATTGCCTCAGATTTCACATCTAACAATGGTCACACAGCCTCTGCACACCTCTGTCTCCATAATATAGAGTATTTTTTCTTTTTTCTTTTTTCTTTTTCTTTTTTTTTTTAGTGTAGAATAGAGTTTATTTAGGGCATGGAGAGGGGAATTGAGAAGGCAGTAGAGGCAGAGAAGGACAGAAAGTGAGCTAGAGTATTTTTTCTAAAGAAAGAAAATGAACTTAGTTTGTTAGATTAATATGTAATGATTACCTGTGATACAGTATCACCCATTGTTGAATAATATTAACACTATCGGTCTTATGTATATAGTTATTGATAACTCATTCAAAACTATTGAATTATTTAATTAACTTGCTGAAAACTCAGCATGGGGTCTTTCCCATATTGGGCAATCACTCTACTGAAATAAATGTATTGCTAAGACTGGTGTTTATGTTTCAATTCTTAGAAGATCTTGTACTTAGATGGGACCTTGTACTGTGTGTGCTTATGGCATTTTTTCTAGACTCAAATTCTCCACATTTTATTTGCTGGATTGTTTACAGTGGACCATTCCTTTACTCCTTAGAAGACAGGGGCACACAGATATCTGAGTTTAAGGACACTCAGGGCCACACAGAGAAATCCTGTCTCAAAGGGAAGAAAAAGGTGAAACAAATTAACAGTGGGACAGGGTTTGGAAAGTACATGATAGAAACATGTTTGTTGTTCTGGAAAACAACGGAATAGTGAGACACCCTGTGTACTTCCTAATTACCTCACTGCTGTGACAGTACACCCAACCAAAGCAGCTCATCACAGTGTGGAGAGGAAGAGTGCTGCTCACGGCACATCCACATCAGGAAGCAGAGATGAATGCTGGTCCACTTGTTTGTTTTCCGTCCAGGACCCATGAAATGGTGCTGCCCTTACTTAGTATCTGGGGAGAAGGGTGAGAGTGGTGGAACTTCCCACCTCAGTTAACCCAGTCTGGCAGACCTCTCACAGTTGTGCCCAGAGGTTTAACTGTCACACCCAGCAGTATAGATAGTGTACCCCTCAGGTAGCAGGCCATCATCCAGTGAGAAGTATCACGTACCCAGCAATATCACAGCATTGGAAGTATTTCTGAGGGAAAGGTCCTGTTTTGTAGAAAACATCTGTTGAAGAATGAACAGATTGAATGTCTTATGAAATGACCTACAAATTGAGACTCTGGTAATAGCATAGTCTAAAAGGAGTAAGAGATGATATCTCATGAAGTTAGTCCAACTGAACCTGTGAATAGAAAGCTGCCCTTTGTAGTAAGATGCCCAAGTATAGGCAGAAAGTACCAAGTAAATGTCAACTTCTTTATTAGAAACACGTGACCTCCTTTAATCCCAGCACTTGGGAGGCAGAGAGAGGCAGGTGGATTTCTGAGTTCGAGGCCAGCCTGGTCTACAGAGTGAGTTCCAGGACAGCCAGGGCTATACAGAGAAACCCTGTCTCGAAAAACAAAACAAAAAAAGTAAAAAAAAAAAAACAAAAAAACACATGACCTTTGACAGATTCAGGGGGATTTGTTTGCTTTTGGTTTTGGTAGTTCCCTGTAGTCAGCTCCTTTGATAGGCAACACTAACAGCCCTCAGCCTTGTTTATGAAATCCATACTTCCTGTAGACGACCTAAGAGCTTATAAATGAAGATCTTAAGAACTGAGTAGTCAAGAGATACAGTTTTGAAGGAAAGATGCTAAGAAAAGGGAAAAGCAGTGGACAGGAATGCTTTTGGGGTGCAGAGAGAACAGACTTCATCTGCATGCAAACCTGCAAGTCTGAACAGGTTACCCACTGCCTGGATAGAAATGGCCTAACTGGTGTGCCCTAGGAAGCCAGATCTGGCTGCTGCAACCAGTCAGGAGTGCTAGAGGCTGTGAGCCAGGTGTTAGTCCCAGACCTGGGTGCCGCACACCCATGGCAACCATGTTTCTCACCCCTTAATGCTACACAGACACATTTCACACACGTTGAGAACCTCTTCATGGTTTTATAATCCGCTGAAATTCCCTGTGCCATTACCACCAACCCTTTTCATGCTCTTGGGATTTGCTGCAGAGAGTCCAGTTTGCAAAGCCATTGGCGTCTCGCCTAGAGTCTTCCTGCAGCTACCCCTTGTTCTTGGCCCTTTCTCAAACTTAGCAAGGTCTCCTAATCATTGAGTACAAAGAAAGGCTGAAGCATTGTTTCTGGCCAGATTGTTACCTCTGTACCTGGAGTGATCACCAAGTAGTGTTTGTTTCCTAGTAGCACATGATGAAAAGTGAAGTCACATTTCTTTCATTTTGTAGGGCATTTCCCAGCACACCCTTGACAGGCCTCCTAAAATATTACAACAATGGCAGAATCCTTTGTCTTTGGAGATTTTTACATCTACCCAGAATACAATGTAGCAGGGTTTCAGTGTGGTAGCTACTTTATGCTCATTCTCCCCAGTTAATGCATCACGGATGAAATGAGTTTTGTAATACATTATCCAAACAACTTAATTATGTCCCAAGAACTGCAGTGGATGCCTGAAACAGCAGATAGTACTAATTACTGTGTATATTCTGGTCTTTGTGTATAACTGGATGCTTTCCCAGTACCAGAGTTCGTTTGTCTTTCCGTGTCTTGTGTCATGATACCTCCATGTACCTTCATTCTTGTGCTTTGGGCCATTCTTGAGTGAAATAAAGGTTACTGAGACACAAGCAGTGAATGATAAAGCAGTCAGCTTAATAACCAAGATAGCTACCACCTGAGCAGACAGGTGGTACACAGTGGGTATGCAGGACAGAGGGACAGTTCAGCCCTAGTCTAGGTTGGACAGCAGAACAATACAAGATTCTGTCTTGCTACACACAAAGGTGTGCTACTTAAACCTTTGGAAATGGATCTGGAGTGTAGCTCTGCGGTAGATGCCACACCTGTCTTGTTCAAGGACCTTAACATTCCAAAAAATCAAAAATAAAACTTAAGAACTGTTGATTCTTAGAATATTCCATTTTATATTTTCAGACCACAGTTGATTGTGATGAACTAAATCTGTAGATGGTTGAGGGATGTTCTGTGGGACATAACTTGACTATCAAAGATTAAACCATCCCTAGAGCAAAACTAAATATTGTCTATTCCCCAGGCATGAGAACATTTCTGTTTCTCTTTCTTGATAGAATAAAAGAGAACCCACATTTACTAAATCAGAGATTATATGTGAACGGTATAACTGAGTAGTATATAGTCTGTGCAGTATTACCTGGTCTGATGTCTGACATCAACAAATTCTTTGGGTCTGAAGTGGATCCCAAAAGTGACAGTTGGAACCCAGCTAGCCTACTACATTTCTTAAAATTTTTAATTTTTAGTTTTTAGTTTTTCGAGACAAGGTTTCTCTGTGTAGTCCTGGCTGTCCTGGAACTCACTCTGTAGACCAGGCTGGCCTCGAACTCAGAAATCCGCCTGCCTCTGCCTCCCAAGTGCTGGGATTAAAGGCGTGCACCACCACTGCTCAGCTTACATTTCTTTATTACTTATTTTAGAGACAGGGTCTCACTGTGTTTGTTTGGCTGGTTTGGAACTGGCTCCATAGACTAGGCTGGTCTCAAACTCACAGAGATCTGCCTCCAGAGTGCTGGTATTAAAGGTATCCACCAACATGCCTGGCATCATTTTTTTGGTCAAGATTTTTAAAAATAAAGGGTTGGAAAAACTGGCTCAGTGGTTAAGAGCAACAGCTGCTTTTGCAGAGGACCTGAGTTCTGCTTCTAGCAGACATATTAGGTAGCTTACAATCACCTGTGACTCCCAACTCCACAGAATCACATGACACACACTTCTGCTTCCACAGGCACTGTATAACAGATGCACGCACACACACAAATATTTAAAAATTTTTAATTATGTCTTTAACTTGGTCTTACAAGACCATGAGGTTTCCATGGGTCTTTTGTGTATGTAACGATGGTGTCATCTGTATGCATGTGCTATGTAGCAGATCTCTAAAACATACCCTGTAAAACAGACATGAATATCCATTTCATTGCGTGTCAGTTCATTTACCACCGCCCCAGCCGTGGCCGTCTCACTCTGCCCTTATTCTTCTTCATAGCATATCCTCAAGGTAATCATGTTCCATGACATGGCATTTTGTGTGTGTGAGTGTGCACGTGTATGTGTACGCCTGTGTGTATGCATGTGTATGCGTGTGTGCATGTGTGTGTATATGTGCATGAGTGTTTTTTTAAATTAATTAATTTTGAATCAGGGTCTCTTTATGTAGTCCTGGCTGGCCTGGAATTCCCCTGTAGTCCAGGCTGGCATCTAACCCTCAGATCTACCTGCCCCTGCCTTCTTGAATATGGAAATTAAAAGCTTGTACCACCGAGATAGCCCAGGAAGTGTTTCCTTTCTTAAAGGATTAATTATATCTCACCAGGCAGAGGCAGGCGGATCTCTGAGTTTAAGGCCAGCCTTAACTGGTCTACAAAGTGAGTTCCAGGGCATCCAGGGCTACACAGAGAAACCCTGTCCCCTCCACTCCCAAATAAACAATAGTTAAAGCTTAGTCATCTCTCATCTCATTCCATGAATATAGCAAAATTTTGAAATTCTTGTCATCTGTCAATGAACTTGAGGATGGTCCCATAGCTAAAGATTATACAAGAAACATGAGAACAGATATATCTATTAAAAAAAAACTGATTTCAGTTCTTTTGGGTAAATACCTAAAGTGGCATTGCTGGGTCACTAGTAT